AATGGTTTAAGTTAAAGCAGCACAGCAATCTAAGATCTTTGGAAAGGTACCACACACACTGCACCAAGACTGCAAATTAGGAATCAATTATTTCATGCTGGTTACCAAGCTGCGAGTGAGAAAAGGTGAAGAATACTCCATTATTTACTCACATACAAATGCAGAGGGAATCAGTGCCCCATCTTATTTCACTGGTCCTACCCAACTCAATTTATAAAGTAAAATATACAAATCAATGAATTCAACTTTTTGGCTTTTGGGAACTTTTAACTACTAGATCCCTTCCTTACAAGTTACATCTAAAAGCTCACGGTAGTTAAAACTTCAATCTTTAAATCACAAAAACTTTCCTATTTTTAAGTAGGAAATGCAAGTTTCAGGTTCGAATCTTGCATTCATGATAATCTGATATAAACATGTTATCCTCGTAAATATAAAAAATGAAAACCTACATGGATTGGATTGATGATGTTGAATTTGCAAGTTTTATGAGCTAAAAATTGAAAGCACAGTAGTTCTGAGTAAATCAGATAGGAAAAGAGAAGTGATAACAGATAGGAATGGAACTCATGGCTCTCTTTTTTCCACAGCATTTAGTTAATATTTGACAAATTCAATATATTGATTCTTTACATAAGAAAAAGAAAACAAGGATTTTATGGAACTGAAGAAACACCAATAAACAGGCTTCCCGAGTTCCTGCTTCTCAGCATTGCGGCAGCAGCAGCATGTTTACTCACTTCAAACTCATATTTCCATTAGATGAAGATAAGTAAAGCAGAGATGATTCAGAGAAGCTAGAGTTATTGCGTTTTGGACATAAGCTTTGGCCTGCTGGGTTTGATGAAGATGTAGCTGGTACCCCACCAGCATTCTTACGTTCTCCTGGGGCTGGTGATGCCTTGATGAGCACATCTACCTTGGCATGCTCCTCTCTTTCATGCTTGATCTCCTTGAGCATTGCCACAACATCTTTCATCGTTGGTCTTTCATCAGGAGATGAATTTACACACAGGAATGCTATGCCTAATGCCTGCATCATTTCGTCAATTTCTGACTCCGGTCGTGACAACAAGCTCAAATCAAGTACTTCAATCCCTCCTCTCTTCTGCCTCACCCAATCCACAACATGAAGGCCATCCGGTATTGTTGGATCAATAGGTTGCTTGCCTGTCAAGACCTCCAATACCACCACACCATAGCTATAGACATCACTTTTCTCAGTAATCTTCATCATGTAACCATATTCTGTATGCAACACTAAAATTGTTAGCTCCATGAGTATGTTACATAGAATATGTTAAATAGTGACATTTTGCAAAATGAAGAATAAATATAAATACATTAAAATGGTAAGCCAAATTGAAGGAAAAAGCTTACCAGGAGCAATGTATCCATATGAACCCGCAACAGTATTAGATGAATGGGCAAAATCTCCATCACCGACTAGCTTGGCAAGGCCAAAATCAGCAATGTAAGGTTCAAACTCAAGACCTATTAGGATATTATTGGCCTTGATGTCCCTATGAACAATTGGAGGGACACAATCATGGTGCAGATAAGCAAGACCTTGTGCTGCCCCTAACAGGATTTGGTACCTAAGTTCCCATTCCAGAGAACTACCTGTTCTCTCATGGAGCAGACTCCCTAAGCTCCCATTAGGCATGTAGTCATACATGAGTAACCTTGTGTTTTTGTTCCAGCAACACCCTAAGAATCTGACAATGTTCTTGTGACGGATTGAGCCTAGAGTTTTCACCTCTGCAGAAAAGGAATCTCGAATCCCGGATTTTTCATCTTTACATTCATCTGATCCTGCCATTGTTTGTGGCCATAGCTTCTTCACTGCAATGACTTCGCCACTGTCCATGTCAGCACGGTAAACAATCCCGGAACACCCTTTTCCGATTACATTAGAATCAACTAAACATTCCAAAACCTGCTCCACAGTGAAATTCAGTTTTTGGAATGGAGTGAACTGCCATGGCCAAGAGCCTCCCAACTCAGAATCTTCACCATCTTTGAAAGTTCTCCGTAGTCGGATCACTGCAATGGTCCCCAGGATAACCATAGCCACAGTCAGAGTAATTAACAAAGCAAAGGCGAGCTTTAGCCTTCTTGACCGCCTAACATCATTTTCATTCCTTCGTACTTGGGCATTTCCACCATCGCCCTGAAAGCAATAATCCCGGTTAGAAGGGCAGAGGCCTAGGTTTCCGGCCAAATCAGCAACCGGAAGCTGCCGGAAAAGCTTGTTATCAGGGAGACAGCCGGTGAAGTTATTGTATGAGATGTTCAATGCAACTAGATTGTCAAGTTGAGACAGAGGAGACAAGTTTCCTTCAAGCTTGTTATGTGAAATATCTAGTATGGAAAGTTTGGTGAGAGCAGATATCTGTGGCGGAATTGACCCGGTGAGTCCATTGCAGCTCAAGTTGAGAGCAATTTCAAGAGATTCAATCCTCCCCAGCTCTGCTGGAATGCCTCCGGTGAGCTCATTACTGCTGAGATCAAGCAATTGGAGACTGGAGCAAAGGCCAAGAGAGGAAGGTATGGTCCCAGAAAATCTATTCCTGCTTAGAATCAGATTGTTTAGTGAAACAAGACGCCCCAAGCTGGCCAGAATTGGCCCCTGGAATTGATTTGCGGAAACATCCAGCACTTGGAGGGCAGACAGCTTTGAAACAGGGTTAGGCAGGAGACCCTGTAGATCGTTGTTGTTGAGGTTCATCATTTGCAACTCTATGCAGCCACCAATCTCATCAGGAACAGACCCAGAAAGGCGATTTCCTTGAAAATCAAGAAACTTCAACTTCTTTAGGCTTCCTATTCCTCGAGGAATAGCACCGGTGATCCTGTTATTAGCAAGCCTTAGCCGGACTAGTGAGCTGCAGTTTCCAATTTCAGGTGGGATAGAGCCGGAGATATCATTTGATATCAAGAGGAGCTTTGAGAGGTTCCACAGCTGAAATAGGCCGGGTGGAATGCTGCCCGTGAGAAAATTGTGAGACAAATCCAGTTGTTGGAGATCAATGCAATTAGCCAAACTTGAAGGTATGCTCCCTTCAAGCTGATTTCCCCAAGCTAAGAACACATTAAGCTTTGACAACTTTCCAATCTCTTCAGGAATCAAACCTGATAACTGATTCATGTCGAGTTGCAGCTGCTGAAGATTAGTAGCATTGAATAGACTCAGAGGTAATGAACCGGACACATCGTTGTTGCTAATCATGAACTCCTCCAACTCGGACAAACCCTCTAATGATTGAGGTAATGTTCCAGATAACAAATTCAAGGAAAGATCAATTCTTTTCAATCGAGGACAACTTCCAATCTCCTCTGGGATACTCCCAGTAAGACTATTTTGCCATAGAAATAGTTGCTCTAACTTTTTAAGCTTAGTAATGTCGAGTGGGATTGATCCTGAAAGACTATTTTCGTAAAGAAACAAATCCACAAGCTCAGAGCAGTTACCTATTTCTGGAGGAATCTCACCGGAGATCATTGTTGTATATATTGACAGTGTCTGCAGCTTGCTTAGCTTTCCTAATGAAGCAGGAATTGAACCCGAAACCTGAGTTTCAGCAAGCCCCAAAAAATTTAGGTTGCTGCAGTCCCCGAGCTCATCTGGTATCCTCCCAACAATGTCATTGTTTCCTCCAGCTCGGAGAACTTTTAGGCTGGACAATTTTCCTAGCTCGGAAGGGATGGAGCCACCGAGACGGTTGTCAAAGAGGAGGAGATTTTGGAGTTTGCTGCAATTACTCAACCCAACTGGGATTTTACCGGTCAGCTGATTAGAGTTCAGAGTCAAGTCCACCAAATTCTGCAGCTTACTGATGCTAGTTGGTATTGACCCAACCAAGCTGTTTGAACTAAGATCAATGATTTCAAGTTCTGTACAATCTCCAATGTTAACTGGGATAGTACCAGTAAGATTAGCATAAGAGATTACTAGTCTTCGGAGAAATTTAAAAGAAGAGAGGTTTGTTGGTAAGGGGAGCTCTAGAGGAACTGACTGAATGTTGATTTCAATGACAAAACCTTGGGCAGAACAAGTTATAAAAGTCCAGTTACATGGACTGAAATCATGATTGTTCCAGCTAGAAAAAGAAGAAGGGGGAGAGTGAGATGGAGAGGAATGAAGCCATGAAAATAGAATGGAAGCTTCATGGTTTTGAGCTGCAAAAGAAAGGTAGAAAAGGGTAAAGAAGAAGGAGAAGAGAAATAAGATAAAGAAGAAGGATTGCCTCGAGCTGGGAATAGACATTTTCCTCAATTTTCAAACCTTTCTTCTCGGATTTGCATCCTTGGGTTTTGCATCTTCTTCTCTTTCTCTGTGCCTCCCCTTCTTGCTTTGAACTCAAACTCAAGGAAACTAAACCAAACAAAAGCAGAGATAGTAAAGAATTCAAGAAAAGCAAAACCAATTCCTAGAGATCAACAAAACCAAAACAGACCACCAGCACCTCCTCCTCCACGCCTAGGATGTATCTTCATATCTTTCAGTATCTTCTGAATTTTTTTTTTTTTTTTAACTGGATTACATTTTTGGGAGAAGAGAAAATGGGTTGAACTCGAACTCGAATCCTGTGAGAACTACGTGGGAGTTACCACTACTCTACCCAAGAATTTGCAGTATCTTCTGAATTCTTTAATATGTTTGTTTGCTGAGAAATTGATAAACGGGGTAAATACTTTGTTTTGTGACTCTATGGCAGTAAATGACCCATTTTTTTAGAGCAGAACTCTGCTTACTCTCTCCCATTTTGGGCATTTAAAAGCTTTTCTGGTCTCAGTTACAGCTGATTTGGCTTCTTCTCTTGTCTTGTCTTTTTCTTAAAATCTCTGAAATTTTGGAAGGTAGAAACTTTGGATGCCTAAAATAGAAGAAAATAGTAGAAATGGGTAGTTAACAAAGTTTTTGTCCATTAATTTTTTTACCATTGGTATGTGATGCATTCAATTTAAAATTAATTGATAATATATAAAATAATCTTCTCGACACATGTTCCTCTTGATGTATAATTTTTTGTTTAATACACAAAAAAAAAAATTATCATTAAATTACTAAAATTTTTGATATTTTGCCATCACCCTCTTATTTTGGGACATTGCAATAATAACTATTCCGACCATTGTATATGTTTCCATAACGATCATCTTTACCTTGCATGCAAAGAAACATTATGTGTGCGCCCCAAAGCATGACTCATTAATCTCATTAAACTAAAAAATTTTGCTTTGCTTGTATTTAAGAAAACCGATTTTTTTTTTTTTTAAGTTTGTGTTCACTTGACGCGCTAACTAAGCAGTTACGGGTAGGATTAAGCTTGAATTAAAGCTTAATATATGTAAATTAGAGGGCATCCCTTGAAAGAAGAGATTTGAGTAGCAGTTTGCTTTTGGATCCGATGGCATTTGTATTGTGGGTTAAGTTTCATTTTAAATGGGAGGAATTAAAACAATTTTTTAAAAAAAGTACAAAATTTTTTATGAATGGGTAAAATTTTTATTAATATAATTCTGAAGGGTTATGACTTTGAGGGGAATCAGTAGATTTTATAATTAACATAGAGTTAAGGGTTATGCTGGCATTTTGAATAAAAAAATGCAGAGCAAAGATAGATGAGTTTAGTGAGTTACCAATCACATTCACTGTAATTGTCGGATCAGTCAATTCTGATCAAATTTTTTAACAATATTGGTTGATATTAAAATCCCTTAATAAAATATATTACATTAAATGAGTAAATATATATTAATTTATATATTTTATCACTCTTATTTGATAAAAAAAAAAACTACTAATAATTACTTTGATCAAATCATATTGTAAGGATCTGTTTATAAATATTTTAAATATTAAAAGTAATAGTTTCTTTAAAAAATTAAATTAAAAAAAAAAAGTGATTATAAGGGATTGAAAAACACACCCAACCACCTTCACAATCGTAAAAAGAATGAAAGATAAGAAAAAAGAAAGAAAACAAGGCATGCATCCAGCTAACAAGAGAACTAATAAAAGATGACTTTAAAGTGTTTCAACTAGTAACCATTTGAGAGTGAAAATTGAAGAATTCATGTTTCAGTCTTGTCTAAACCGAAGATGGTTAAACAAGGAAAAGATTATCACTATTGTATAAAACAAGCAAAATAAAAATTTTTTGTTTTACAATTTAAATTATGTTAAATTACAAAATATAAATTAATAAATAAAAAATTAACTCTTAATATTAAAAAATTTATTTTTTATTTAATAATTTAATTATGTAATTTAAATATAAATATACATTATAAATTACACCACACTTTTTTTTTTCTTTTGACTAAATAAAATATTGTGAGATTTTTTAAAGAGAGTGAGTGGTAGTAGACTAGTAGCTTTAGCAACGAACACATCCCTGGTTTTTAGGCAACATCATGCGAGGGTGGGAATCTAAAATCCAAATTCTGCCTAACCAAACCAAAATGATAATATTATTTAATCAAAAGCAAAAGGGAATTTTTTATCCCCGTAAGACCTAATCACAGGGTAAGGGGTCCCTTAAATTATTTTTTTTTTAGGAGCATTGCATTAGTAGCTAAAAAAAACAAAAAAAAAAAAAAAAAAAACAAAAGGTAAAGCGGCGGTTCTACCCTAATTTAAGGGTCGTGGTGGTCTTGGGAGTTTCTCCAAGTGGAATCCATAGTTCCATACACGTTTTGTTTGTCCAAATCTCATACTCCACTTTCGGCTTTCAGAATTGGAAAAAATATTACGTAAATCAAATTGTATAATATTAATTATTAGATAAAAAATAAATTTTGTAATATTGAATGTTTTTTTATTTAATGATTTTTATTTTATAATTTAATATAATTTAAATTGTGAAACAAAATTTTTTTCCAAATATATTGAGAGAAAAGAGTATTATGGAGGGTGAGAGGTGGATGGTTTTGTTTGGAATCAAAACTTGATCGAAAATGATTATTTTTATTTAGGGTTCTTAATTAGGGCTAAGTTAGATTGGTTGGGGTCATGGGAATTGGGAGCAAAAGGGGATTTTATTGGGAAGAGACATGAGCAAATGAACACCAACTCAACAAAAATTAGGAAACACGATTGGTAGAAACGGTACGTGTTCAATGAATGGTGAAGAGTCCTTTTGCTCTCTTGGTTTGTTTTTTAATTTTTCAAGTTCTAAACTACAAGTGGAATAAAAATAATATAGTTATGATACTGCATATTATTCTATAACATATCACTATATAATTAATTATTTATATTTAAAAATCATCTTATAATATTTTATATATTTATTTAATAATATATTATAATTATGTGATATTTAAGAATGCTGTTAATAAGTAAGATAGGTTCTGTTATGAAGAAGTGTTTTTATATTAAGAACTTTAAGCCCAATAAATTGGGCCCGATAACCAATATGTGAAATGCTTAAATGGGCCGAAAACCATTCCGGCACTCCCATTTCCCCCAAAATGGAAGAAAATAATAATAAAAAAAAGGTGAGGGAAGCCGTGAAGGTATGTACGAACGCTTATCTTTTGGTTTCCAACAAAAATAAAAAAACTCTGACGTTATGGACAAAGGCCGAAAACTCTTACGGACAAGATGGTGCTTAAAAGAGGCCCAATAATCCAAATAGAAGTGAATACTGAATTGACATTTTTTTCCATTTTTTTTTTTACCTTAAGCCCACACCAGACCCTATACTCTCTGGACCACAGAAAATTTTTTTTTATTAACCTTTCGATATTCAAAAATCATATTACATCTAAATTAATTTGAAATTAAATCATATTATACCTCATAAGAAAAGAAGCTTTTCTAATGTCTATTTCTCTATTTACAAGTCTCGAATTCAAAATTTTATTTAAAAAAAAACTGAACTCTTTTCACTCATATTAACAAGTTATTAATATCATAGAAAATTCTTGAACAACTTGAAAGTGGGCTTCCCTTTCACAGGTTTACATTTTACAATGTGCTCCATTTTTTCTTTTTCCTTTTTCACTTTAATAGTTTTTTTTTGGTAAAATTTATATTTAAAATTAGAGCTAATTTATCTTTATATATATATTGCTTTTGAGAAAGAAAAAAAAAAAGATAAAAAAAGATATTTTAGTAAAAAAGAGTGGAGAATTAAAATCAAGATATAAAAATAAGGTTAAAAATGGAAAAAATTATTTACTACAAAAATTAAAAAATTAATAATTAATTTAGCTAAATTTTAGGTTAAAAAAGACTTTTTTTTTTGGTACATTAAAAAAGACTATTATTCTGAGATAAAAAATAGTAATATATGAGTATTTGAACTTCTAATTTGACTAATTTTCCTAGTACATAGGTATAGAAATTATAGTAGCACAACGAGCAAACCAATTTGGGGCATTCTTAGTCATAAAAAAACGTTTGGGGCTAAATCGCCAATAAAAACTAAGTTAAGGGGCCAACTAATAAAGTTTTTGCCGAAGCTATTACAGGACTCACCCTTTCCTAATTCTCTCGTGCATACCCTTCCCGTATTTACGCTGCGCGAAAAGGTAAAGGAAAAGAGCTAGGCGGGAAAATGGCGGCGGCGACAGGAGTGGTGCTGCCGCGGCCAGTGACTTTCGTGACGGGAAACGCCAAGAAACTGGAGGAAGTAAAAGCCATCTTGGGTCAATCCGTTCCCTTTCAGTCCCTCAAGCTTGACCGTATGCTCCTCATCCTTTTACAAACTTCATCCCTTTTTCTCTCTTTCTTTCTTGCTCTAATTTTCCTTTTCTGGGTTGATTTTATATCCAGTGCCTGAACTCCAAGGCGAACCTGAAGAAATCTCCAAAGAAAAGGCTCGTTTGGCTGCTGTGCAAGTATGTATATGCACAAAAGGATACTTGCGTCTGTGTTTATTCTGTTGATTTTTTTATGTTTTTGTGTATGTTGTGTATCTGTAATTTCTGTATTTTGAATTGGGAAGGTGAATGGACCAGTGCTAGTGGAAGATACATGTCTCTGTTTCAATGCTCTAAAGGGTCTTCCAGGTTTTTACTTTCTGTATTTAGTTACTTATTTTTGGGTTTTTTTTTTTTTTTTCTAGTTTATAGTTTCTGATTCGTGTTACATTCTTGAAATTATTTTCAGGGCCATACATGTAAGTTCTATATTTGATTGCTGTTCAATTTTTGAGTTGTAATTGTAAGTTATGCTTCTCCTTTTACTTTAAGGATTCCAATTTCTTTCTTTCTCTGTCGTAATAAGAGCACTTTTGGAATTATGATTGAGTAGATTTGGGATGGAAATTGTTTGATGATAGGTCGAACTCAGTGAAGTAAAGTCTCATTTGGCCTCTGTGTTAATCTTTTTTATGAAAAAAAATAGTTAAAAGTTTTATGGGAAAATGGTGTGGATTGTCCGTGTGTAATGTTGAAGGACAATTTTATATCAGTTAGTTATTCATCTACTATCCTATTACTGTATTACAACTTATGTGTTCTCCTGTAGGTTTGATGTAATTGGGTACACCTCAAAATCGCTAAGATAAAACATTTAAAATGGAACAACTGCTTCAATTTCTTTATGAAATTTTGTTGGGAAATATCACCAATTAATTATGTCAATCATTAGGCACTAATTTTGTTTTTCAATTTCCCTCCATGCCTTTTATTTGTGAGTTTGAAACATCCTTACCCACAGAAGTGGTTTTTTTCCTTGACTGCTGGAGCAACTTCACAGTGTTAGCAACCATGCAGTACTCTTGGTGTATCACATGATGAAAGTTTTTGAATCGTTTCAAAGAGGAAACATTAATGATTGTTATATATTTCATTCTCCTTTGCATCCTATAGAATTCAATTTCTATCATGAAGATTTCCAACGTTCAGTCTGTTAAAATTTGATGGCCTCTAGGCTTTAGTTTAGTGTCTGTGTTCTCCTTACGAGTTTATTAGGGCTTCTATGGATATATGGATTAAATTGGAGCTTCATTGCATGTTCATAACATTAAAAAAAAAGAAGAAGAAGAAGAAGAAGAAGAAAGTTGAGGTTTAAGTGACAACTGACCTATAGGTGGGAAAGTTAATGACGGAGATCACTGTTCCAAATTAGTTACTTGATCCATGCAATGGTTTTCAGTCCATAGTTGTTTCTTTGATTTGTTTATTCCTTTTATCATCTTGACATTTGCTTTGCTCATTTAACTGAGATCTTTCATAATTCTCCCTCTATATTGATAACCAAAGGAAAAAGGACAGAGAAAGGAGAAAGGGGGGAAACTTTCTAATTGTATAACTTTGTAACTATGTTTTCTGCTGCTTTTTTTGTAGTAAATTGTACTATAAATTAGCCCCTGTTTCTTATTACTTTCATAAGTTGATATAGTGGATTTCTTGTCAAGTGTGGGAGTGTGAAAATTGTTGAGTTCATGACTAAAAGAAGCAAAGAGAGTGAAGTAATTTGGATAAGTTACTTGCATTTTTAGTCTACCTCTGCATAAAATTTCAAACAATCTATTGATTTCTTTTGGTTCGTCATTTGATGTTATGTTACAATTGACTCTACCTGAACTGAAAGGCCTTTTCCATATTGCATGCCCTTTCTCACCATATGACTTATGCACAATTGTACATGAGTCTGGATAAAGGCAATCATCATTGCAATATGCAGGGAATTCATATAGTCTCCTGTTGAAAAGAATTTATTGTCCTGTATGAGGCCTTTGATCTCCTTCAGTGCTGTTGTTCTCATTCCGTTTATTTCCTCCAAAAGTTTAGGTTTATGAACCCGTAGTGATGTCATTGATGATAAATTAGGCTTTGGATTATTTGCAAATACTAATAGTTTTCATAATTGTTTTTCACAACATGGTTCTAATATCCTTATTTTATGATCTTTGATTTCGTGTGGTTTGCAGCAAGTGGTTTTTAGAGAAGATTGGCCGTGAAGGTTGAATTCTCTCTCTGTATTGTCTCATTTACCTTTTGCTTCATAATCTTTATCAAAATTTCCTGCTTCTCCAAAGCTTCTCCTCTGATTCTTCATATTTTCTAGGTTTGAATAACTTGTTGATGGCATATGAAGATAAATCAGCTTATGCTTTATGTGCATTTTCTTTTGCTCTTGGGCCCGATCTTGAACCTATTACATTTCTGGGGAAGACACCGGTATGTTTTTATAGTGCTATCTTCCCTTCTTTTAAAAAAATTTTTTAAAATTTTTTTCCTTAATCTGATTTTTTAAATCCTTTTCATTTCTTCAAGCTAAATTTTGTTAATTTAAAAGCTTTCTATTGCCTATTTGACCAGAATAAAGCATCAAAGCCATTTGAATTAGTGCCAATTTGACATGTAAAGTTAAGAACCATTTGATCTAAATTATGGGACCGTGAATGAGAGCATTTATTGGGTGATTTTATTTGGGAAAGGGATGATGATACCTTTCCAGGCATTCCCCAGAACCATTTATTCTATAAGAGGATATACTGCTTGAGGTTGATCAGATTACGTTAGAACTTTAGTAGTCTTAGAGCCTGTGCAGAACCATTCTGAAGGTTGGTTAAATGAAATGTAGTCAACTTCTGTGGCCCTTCAAATGTGTTTGCAGACCTATTTGTAGAGGATTTGTAGACCTGTTCAAAGGTAATAATCTCAGCTTGATCTTTAGACATGTTAATCTTCAGCAAGAGTACTAGAAGTTGGCAAAGATTGCTTTGAAGAATTTAAGTTGCATTTTCACTCTACTAAGGATTAGGTTCAAGGCTTTGCAGTACTGATTTGAGGGTGACTGGGGCAGGGCTAAAGTAGATTTAATCACCCAAATGACTGCCCATGATTTTATACCCTCATTTTCAGAGATCAACTTCTTACGGAATATGTGAATGTGACTGAGGTGCATTTTTATTTATCTGATTTTAGAGTAATGTATATCCATTATTGTAACAGTTTCTTTTCTTTTTCCTGTTTTGATTGCCTTCATCTAATTGTTTTTATTTTTTATATTTATGTTAAGAATCAAAGAGCTAGGAAAAAGAAAAAAGAAAAAAGAAAAACAATTCTAGAGAAGGAAAACTAATCACTTTAACATTGTTGTTCTTTGGCTGATTTGTTAGGGCAAGATAGTTCCACCAAGGGGACCAAATGACTTTGGATGGGATCCAATCTTTCAACCTGATGGCTATGAACAAACGTATATCTGCTTCATTCCACTTCATTTTTATTGCCTTCTGATCCAAATTTTAGCAAATCACAGCTAAGTTAGATTTTTCCTTTCGTTTGTTCTAATCATGTTCTCCCTTCTATAGTTATGCAGAGATGCCAAAGGAAGAAAAGAACAAGATTTCTCATCGCTTCAAGGCTCTGGCTCTGGTAAAATCCCACTTTGCTGAAGCTGGATACAGTTTTAAGACAGATGGCACCTCTGCCTAAAAATAATCTAAATCTTTATTGTTGCCGTCCAAAATAACGAGTCCCAAGTAATCAAAAACTTTATTCTTGGGGTCCAAATTTGTTACATTTTCTCTAATTCTATAATGAACTGCATAGAAAATGACTACTTGAGAGTGGGATAACAGAAGCTTTTGGAATATTTACTTGGGTTTTATTATGAAAATAAAAATCTAGCTTCAAATATGTTTGCCTAAACTTTGTCAAGTAAGTAACTGCAAGCTAACCTCTTTTGAACACGTTTTTTAAGTTACATTAGGAAAAGGATCATGCTAGCCTGTTTACTATGAGCAGTTGAGCCTTAATCAATTTTTCTTTTCACTAACATTTTTCCTTATTTACTGCTCTCTGTTTTTGGTTTTGATATGTGTTGCTATTAACTTCCTCAACCAAAAATGATATGGTGGCATCATAACTTGACCACATATAATTGACTGTTGTTAATCATGGGGCCATGTTTGATATCGTATGCATTCATTTGTTTAATATCATATCATCATCGTAAGCATGACGTTTTAACTGTATTATTTTTGCTTCATCAATTGCTTGTGCATACACCATTAAATCCAAAAGCCGGTGGCCTAAAACAAGGACGTACAGTTGTAGTTAGTCTTTATAGTCATGAAATTTAAAGGGGATGTACTTTCAAACATTCAGCTTCAGATCATCAAGGGTATTGCAAGAACTGTCCTGGCATCCCAAATTCCCAATATTGACATTTTGAACACGTGTTTGGCTACCGTCTCTATCATTCCTGAGTCACTGAAAGGGTGGGTATTTCTTCCATTGTCAAAATGATATACATGTTCAGTTTGGATTTCTGGTTAGGTTTCCTACTTATTCCAAAAGTCTAAGGTTTGTTTCTTTGTAATTATGATATAAATTATAAACAAATTTTTAATTGTTTCAGTCTTTTATCTTATGTTTGGGTTGAGGAGAATGTAGAGAAAGAGAATTATATCATTCCATTTCCCTCT